CTGCTAACACTAATCTATAGAGACCTGCATTAAAAGTGAACACAATATGCTCGTTCCTGTGAGGGAGGGGTAGATATTAACAAACTGCACGTGAGGAACCGGCGATGCTCTTGGAAAGGATCGCCTGAAGCGGGTCGGAACGCGGCGGGGCACGGCGGAGCGAGCGACTGATAGGTTAGGGGCGTTTTAGGTGGCGGGCGAGGGCGGGGCGGGGCGGGCGTCAGAGCTCGCTGCGGATGCGACGCACGCGCACGCGGTGCGCTCCGCTTCGCGACGAGACGTGACGCGCATCCCTCCCCGCCCCTCCCCAACTCCCCCACCCGCCCCACGGCTCAGGGCCCGCCGCGGCCGCTTCCTGCCCCGCCCCGAAACCAACCCGCCTGTTGCCGCGAGCGGGAATCCCACCGCCCCCTTCCTCGCATTCCGCCGATTCGGCGCGATCGGGCCTCGGAGGCGAGGGGCCCCCGGCGATTGCGACAGTGCGTTCGCTTGCTGGGTTCCTGTCCTCACGAGGATATGTCCTTGTTGTTCTTTTTTAAATAACTGAACTGGGTATGGTTTGTGAAGGTAGCATAATTTTGATTGGTGCTTTAATGGATCATCATATGCTAGTTTCAGCTCACGTTTCGTTACGAGATGTTGATTTCCTTCTGGAAAATGTGTCGATGAAATATTGTAGGGAATTATAGCATAGTGAAATTGATTGTGTTTAAACAGTACATGCTTTTTCACCATTTAGTAATGTCTACGTATTAATAGGATAGCCGGAGTTCCGAGTTCGCTAATGCAGTAGTGTCGTGGCGATCTGGGTTCGAAGGATCGCGGGTTCGAATGAATGTATTTATAATCGCACCTTCACACTTCATCATCATCCTATCACTTAAGGATTAATAATTCCCTGCGCGGGTAGGAGGCCCTTGTTCTTAACGGGATGTGCAGTTGGGTAATAAAAATATGTACTAATATTATACCACGTATCAATGAAGCAAAATAAGGTGTATAACGAGTTATTTTACTTATTTGAACATTATGCTCTTTCATAAAATCTAATTCATAAAAATGTATTTGTTGTGTTGTTATTAGAGCGAGCATCAATTATTCAAAAGGCCTGCGCGAACATAAAGAATCAGAAAGACCCTCAAGAGTATTAACAATACCGTTTCTTGCTTTTTTCATGTACATAAACACACAACAATGAACTAGTTAACCATACAATTATTTTTCTCCGTGTCGCCTAAGATATTCTAAGTTCATTTTTAAATGTTTAATTTTCTTTTAAGTGAAGAACGAATTACACGTTACATTACTCTTTGTCTGAACATGCAATGCTAAATGCTCTATACGTTTTCACACCTAAGAAAATTTCCCCAAATTTTCATTACTAATCGAAGAACAAACGTTTCTTTTCCATCTGCTTTGGGAATTCAACATTTAAAGGGACTCCTAACATGTTTTTAATATATTTGTTTATTTGTATCTTAGTACACACTCAGTAAAATGCTTCTTACAACACCGGTACATTGCAAAAGAAATGTGCTGACTGAAAATGAATTACATGAAAAGAAGAAATACTAAATACTGAATTAAAAAATAAGAAATGCTGAATATTACTAATTTCCAATGCGTATAAATGCAAAACACGAGTAATCTGAATTGGCTCCAGTACTGAAGTCCACAATGTTGTAGTTATCTATTTGCAGATGTGTTCTAGAATTTTTCATGTTTTCAGAAGTGACCAATTTCCTTTGCACTCCAGTGCTGTTAACGAGGAATAATAGGAAAGGGTACATACGTCCAGTTTTTTAGTGTTCTTATAATGATTCTTTGTACCATTTTGTGTGCCATTTAAGGTATTCATAAGTAGGAGTGATATCTTCTTGTTCTTTTTTTACTTTTTTCTTCTGTTATTCTTGTAATTCTGCTTTATTATTTAATCTCATAATCTGTGGTGCAATGCAATAGGAGTCGTAGTACAGAAAATTTATTGTACTAGTATTAGCATTGAAGCAGGATAGTAATACAAGGTAAATTACTTGAACGTCCATAGGCAAGTTGGTGTGTATGTGTACGTGTGTAAATATATAACTAAGTTATGAATAGAGTGGTAGGTGACCTTGTAGTTCCTTTATGAATGAGGGGAGAGCGTACGTGACAAGAAAGTTGGCAGACACATACGACTGAAATGGTGAATGAATATGTTCCGAAGTAAGAGATTTGTTTACGTTTATTTGTGTTTACGTGTGTTAATTAAGTCATGCATTTTCGTGTTTATGTTTTTCTCTACAATGTAGTTGATAACATTAATTCCAATTGTAAAAACAAAAACATCGCTTCATTATTGACTGGATTTTGGCAGTTATTTCACGCGCACGTCTTCTTGATATTTTCTTAAAATTGTCCGAAAAAAATTAAAGCTATATTTAAATAATGGCTTTCCCATTTCTTCTCTTAACAGATTTTCGAAAATGCTATGGAACTATTAATTTTTTCTCTGCGGAGGAAAAACTGTCTGTTTTGTGAAATGAATCAAACCCAGAAATAAACTTGATTTAAAAGTAATATGCATCCTGCTTTTAATTTCTTTTTGAGTTGTATTGTTTTAGTGTATCCCGAAAACAACGTTACACTAATTTGTAGTTGACAAGGAACAAGGGTAAGAGAAAGAACTTTGAATTCCGTATCGACCATTCTGCGAATTATGATTGAAGTCCTCCGAACGTAAATATCAATGAAGAAAGTAGTTGAAAATAATAAATGTTAAGGTTGTGGATGATCTACTTACCATCAATTACGAAGTCCGTCATTGTGTTTGTGGACGTCTGTATGCAGTAAATTTGAAATGGTTTTGCTAAATGACGCGCCTATTAATACTGGAAGAATATTTGGCGGTCACATTTTCGAGAAATCAAATCCGTAGAATTTGTAATGTTGTTTTATCCGCTTCTTCTTGATCACCTGATGTATTTAAGGATCTACACTTTCCCAATTTTTAGCGAACAGGTAGTGGGTTATCGTCTCGCAAACAGGAAATTGGTTAATGTGGCAAATGTGGAAAAGAAAAATAAACAGCCAAAATACCGTTTCCACAACGAAAACTACTAGAGAATTAAGTCAGAAATGTTCCTGTTATATTTCCTCTGTTTCTGATCACATCGCTCATCGCAATTGACGTTCGTTTTTATGATACCGTGCCCTTAGGGATCATAATTTTGTACAAAGGGTTTATTTAGGAGTACATGGTTTGATTGCTTCAAATTTACTTTTTATGTGATGTAACGTGAGCTCGACTCTATTGAGTTCGAAAGATATTTGAGGAAACACAATTCTCCTATGTATCTTATATACTTACTAAATGAGACACGTATTTCGTTCTTTCACACATGAGTTATAGAGAGTTGAAAATAAACTGAGTGTCGGAAGTGCCAGGCAATTTGTAAACATACTTCTACAATGGAACCGCAAGATCTGAATTCCACGATATCGCATCTTTTTATCTCTTTGTTACCTTCGTAATTATTTCCAAGATAGTCGGTATTTGAGACCCGAAAAATGGAAATATTCCATAATTTGAACTTTATTCTCTTAATAAATTCACAAACATTCTTGATAACAATGGCTATCCTTTTATGGACCAGTGATGAATGAACAGACTATGATTACGAACGAAGCGATATAAATGTTGATGGAGCATTGGTGCTGTTAGGGGCAGGAAAAAATGGAGAACCCCGAGAGAATCCGCCACGACAACTTGCATTGACTACTGCCCATTAATTGCACATGGATCGATCGTGGATTTGAACCACTGGATCTCAAATCCCGAAACCTCTACTTAAAATTCGAAATATCGCAACTTCGTTGTAGTTGTCGTATCTTGTATTTAGAAAGCTTTACAACTGTACCTTCCGATGTTTTCACTGAGTTTTATATCTCAAGATCGAAAACGTTTTTTTGGTAGCAATGAGAACACCAAGCATTGGGCGGTTAGCGGCCAAGTTCTGCTTCGCGTTCATCGAATGTCTTTAAAGACTTTGCAAATTTCGTTCGGTGGTGGAATGCAGCGCCGCATTGCTCGCCCGTGCGTTTCGTTTCGCGCGTCCACGCCCATCGGGCCTCCGCGCCGCGTGCGCCGGGGGATGGGCGGAGGGGTGGCGGCGACGCGTGCTGGCCAGCGGTCACGTCGCGGGCGTTGGCCAACGCTGGCGCGGTGACAGCGGCGGCGGCGGCGGCGGGCGCTTCACCCGCAGGATATAAGCCCGCGCCGGGGCCATTGTCGTCAGTCGCCACCGCCACTTCACTTCGCCATGGCTCTCCTGCAGGTGAGGACCCCGCCACCGACGCTTCTCCGCGCTGAGCACTGCGCTGCCGCAAGGGATGTGCCTCTGCAGCGGCGCTTCAGTGCCTTGTTTTCACGATCGCTTCGCCTCTGGGTGAAAGCGTTGTGCGACCTGCAATTTCGCAACTCGTAGGAAAGCACGAGGATGTTCCGACGACTGCAAAGCCTATCTGTGAATTCCATGAAGTCAGTAGAAGTTTCTGGGGTGTTTTCTAGTGGAACGGTTATTTTCATGAGATTTTCTTTGAAGATAATTGCACGAACGAGTGAAAATTGATGAATTTTTAAAGAAATAACGATACTACATTTGTGGAAAAAGTAAATTAAAACATTTATCGATACAATTAATGATCTGCACATGAATTATTTATTCGTGGATATCAACTTTTCTCATTGCAATTTGATATGTTAATGAAGTAGATGATTTCGCATTGAAACTTTTAATGCATTGCTGCTTTCCAAGGGAATTTTTTCTATCATATCGTAGTACACTTAAAATATTTCCATTAAAAATTATTAAATTCTGAATGATCTCAAATCGATAGATTTTATACACTTGTAGCCATATTTGCTCTAAAATATCCTACGAAAACTATTTAGTAAGGTAGGGTAGGAATATAGGTCACATATCCAGGCTTAGTTATGAATGCATGTGTGTGCGTCTTAGGTTCTGTTGAGCGCGACGCTGCTGGCGGTCGCCGCGAGGGCCGGCGTGCTCGCCCCGGCAGCTCCGGTGGCCGCCTACGCCCCCGCGCCCGTCGCCTACGCCCCCGCGCCCGTGCCCGTGGCGCACGCCGCCGCGCCCGTGGCCGTGGCGGCGCGCCTCGAGTACGCCGACAGCTACCCGCAGTACCAGTTCGCGTACACGGTGCGCGACGCGCTCACGGGCGACTCCAAGGCGCAGGAGGAGACGCGCGACGGCGGCATCGTCAAGGGCAGCTACTCGCTCATCGAGCCCGACGGCGTGCGGCGCACCGTCAACTACTACGCCGACCCGGTCAACGGCTTCAACGCCGTCGTGCAGCGGGACGTGCCCGTGGCCGTGGCGGCGGCCGTCAAGGCGGCGCCCGTCGCGCCCGTGCTGGTGCGCTGAGCGGCTGCAACGCTCCCCCCGTCTGGTGCCGCCCCCCTCCCCCGACCGACTCCTCCGCCCATTCGCTCCTCCCGCTGATATTCCACCGTCCACGGTCGATTGTCTAGCTTGCCCAGCTCCCACCACACCACGTTTTCTCAAATGTAAATAGTGTTTTTGAACGTTCCTCATTCGCTGCAAACCGAAATTACCCCAATATCCCGATTTTGCATCATTCCTGTAGTTAGACTCTAGTTATTTTTCTCCTCGATCCGTTTTTCTATTTCTTCTCCCCTTGGAACCTTTTGGAGACGAAGCGGAGGATGTCCTTCCCGCGGGAGAAGTGACCACCTGGGGTAGGCGGAGAACCAACGGGGCCATCTCGTTACCTGTGTTGTTATTGTTACTACCTGCCGCTCTGTTGCACGGCCATGTATATTGTTCGTTTTGTATCGTACCTCTGCTACTTTTTATACCGACTGTATGTATGCTTTCTGCTGTATGCACGTTCCTACGCAAGCAATAAATTGTATAGTACTCGCTGACTACTGGGTTTTATTACCTTTCCCTTCTATATTTTCCTTCCTTCTAGCTGTTGAGTACAGTAACTTTGATGACGTGTTGAAAATAGTCAATGTGTTCGTATCAGAAGCCAAGTCTCAATTTTCTGCTTATTATTTGGTTTCTGGTGATGTTCGTATTCTCTCCTTAATGCTATTGCATCTCTTCCTTTTCAGAAGTAGATGAAAGTGACTCTGAATATAAATTTATATATTAATACTAAAATTTTCAAAAGAAAGAATCACATACCAAATCTTAATCAGATACCAGTTCTGAAAAATAATATTAGTATTGTTCATTTCTAAGTTTCTCTCCATGGTCTCTTCAACCAAATTTGCCAAACTTAGCTGCATTTCTTTATTAATTTAGAATTGTATAAATATTTCGTAACATACACCTTTTCTTTATTTGACAACCAGTCTAAAAAGGTTAATGAAATATAAAAATTACTTCCTTAATCAAATTTTGGATAAATGAGCATCAATAAATTGATTTATATTACTTCTGTATTGTGATTTTTTTTCTTCAAAAACGGTTTTAATACTGATGTGATGTTGAAGTAACTACATCGATTGATTCATTATTTTGTTTCCAAACACTTTAACTGCAGTTGTCACAAGTCCTTAAAGGATGCTGTATCCCGAAAGAGTAGAGACAAGGATGAGGAAAGAATTGATCCATGAAATTTCCTTTAGAGAGCCGGTCAATTCCGTCTCTATTTATCTAACTAGCGGCTAACAATAGTGCCTCCGAGATTCGACTCTAGGACTTCCAGGTCAGAAATGCTGCAGTGATGAAAGCTTTTGCTCTAAGCCCTTTTTTAATTTTTTTTTAGTTAAGGTCGCATCGATATCTAGGACATAAGCGACTACTGTTGGATTGAACGTTATTGTAACTGTGAAGAAGACATGATATGATGATGAAGGGGGTGAATAGACGAACACACAACCATACCTGAGGCGGGACTTGATATCGCGATCCTTCAGTCAGAGATCGCTACGGCACTACTGCCTTAACTATCGCGTCTAAGCCATTTACACCGCTAACAAAATTGAGAATTGCGGCTAATAAAAATGGAAAATACTATTACTTTTTCAAAAATTCAGCAAAAGAGATTTTCCAATCATTTAATATGTATAACGATCCTTTGTTAACTTTAGCTAACCTTAATAATTTATTCAATATTACTATTATATGTGTTGTATCCTAATGTTGTACAAGTAATGTATGGAAATGAAATTATAGAGAATAAATGTTATTACCTCTGAATCTTTTATGCTTATCGTGTTTTATCTGTCTGTCTCTGGAAATAAAAGAGACAAAATTTCATGAAGAAAAAGTCTTAACGAAACTTACTTTCTATGTCGGTCTCGAATACAAAGCTTTCCATTTGTTATAATCATAGAATATTGTGAATAATCTTGGATCATGATGATAAATGACAATTTGATGAAAATGAACAAAAATGTTTATTCATACAATACCATTATTATTATTAATGATAATTATAATAATAAATGTATTGACAGTTCAAATAATTAACTGCCCGACCACAATAGAACCCAGATATCCAGATTGTGTAGATTGAACTATCCACACAATCTTTTCGAACAGCTTACGGAGACAAGCTTGGCCACAGTTGAAAGCGAAACGGAGACGTGGTAATACGTTTCCCATTTTGCAATTTTTCACTATCGTTGCAACTTCATAGCTACTAAACATGGTGTGATTGTTATAAATTGTTTTGACTGTTTTATGAATTTACTGTCTAACCAGCCGGGAATCGAACTTGTGTTTCCCGACTTACGCCCCGTGTCTCTAACCACTTGAGCTACCGAGTCAATCAGCTCTCCTCCTATTTGGAGTTTGCTTCTCGGCTGGGGCAGTATCTCTTCCTATGTAATTTTTAAGCTTCCAACTGTGAAGGCGGTGAAATGTGTATTTTTGTTGTTCGTAGGAGCGTATTAATTTTTCGTTCCTTTCGCATGCCTTTCAAGTAACGTTGATCGCGACCGAGTAGATCCGAAGTGCGAATGGCGGACTCACTTTTCGTCTTCTTGTTCCCAGATCGGAGGACGAGCGTCGCTGGAAGCTCTCTCGCCACGAGACGTTCTCGCGCATGCGCATCAAGCTCTGCCCCAACCACGCCTTCGACAGCCACATGCAGGCCAGCTCGCTCAGGGACAACGCGGGTAAGTACTCTGCGATGGCGGGACTCGCGTAGTTGATTATCAACATCCGCATCACCACCATTGTCACTTATCAGTTCTCGCGAGTAGTAAGCTGCTCATGGGTCTATTTCACTTTCACTTCTGATTGTTGTTCGTGTCGTCGTTCTAATTTGACCTTTTCGATGACTTACTTTGAAGAGACCTCTGATAACTTGCGTTTAAGTATTAATATATAGACTATATTAATGATAAAAAGTATGGCTGCGTGTGTTTAGTTAGCCAATCATGTGCTTCTTATTTAGAAAGAAGTTTAAAGTGTGGCAAATTAGTTTGGTAAAATGTTTCTTTTAATGTGTTACTCGCATGTGCGATGTCCGCAGTTGAGTTACACAATGACTGCTAAAATGTGTTTAGAATAAACAAGTAATTGTAATATTAATTGTAATCATTTTTCATTCTTCTGAAAGCTATCATGATTGCAGGTGGTTCTAAAAAATCCTGAAAATATGTGGGAATATATGCAAAACTTAGAAGTTTCATGATAGATCCCCCCCAGCAATACTGTTTAATGCAATTATACGTTAATTTGATGGACTTAAATGTACTGTAGTTCAACGCGCAAGTGGTGTATTTTACGTTCTTACATATCACATGTCCAACTAGGTGTGAATATAATAAAGTAAAATTAAATTATCATTCGATAAGTTGAGACTTAATGGGAAAGGACATACTCTAACAGACTACGTGCACTGCAAGATTACATATGGTAAATATACAAAGCTAGCGTTCCGGGTTCAATGAATAATGCGTCGGAACATTGGAGTGTTTAAGAATATCGCTCATTGAAACTGGTTATTAGGCGAAAATGGCTTTGCATGGAATCGTAGGCTTCCACGGCCAGTGTGATGTGAAGGCTGATGGCTTAGAATGGATATTCCATAAGACTGGACATTGTTTTCTTTAACATTAGAGTTCGACAGGGGCGCTCAAGAAATTCAGACTTCTCACAAACCACAAGAAATATTCCAGAAAAAGAAAATCTCTGATAAATTATAACAGATGATTGAGATGTGGAGTCACCATTATTATCGTAGGCGACTGGGTTTCCTGCACGCGAGAATCAGAGGTACAAAGGACGAAGAAAGATGAGAAAATTTCTCTTGTTGTGAAGATTTAAAGTGCTTGACGGAAAAAGCTAGTGGCAGATTCGGAAATTGGTTGAAAACTTACAAAAGCATAAACTCGCACTCGTACAGCTAAGTCGATTTCAGATGCTCTCTGGAGGATAATTTTAGCAGCTAGCAGATCTAATCGGCAATTTTTCGTTTTTTTTTTTTTTCTCCTCTTCGATAAATGCCAGGCGAATAGCGGAGAACCTTAACAAACGGGCCACGGACAACGCCTATTCTTTCCTTCCACTTCCTTGTATCCTCTCTCTTTACACACTCATATTCATACTCATACTGTCATGTCGGTTACCAGTTGAGAGCCAACAGTTTGTCTCGGCTGGGGCGGTTAGTTGCTGGGGAGATACCTAAAAGAGGATATGCCCGTATGCCGACGTCTAGGTCGACACCATATCTCATCACCCAATGGGTAAGGAATCACCGCAAGTCCCGCGATAAAACATTCACTACACAAACGGGACTAATGACCACAGCAATGACCTGCGCGGAAACAATAAATAAATCAGAATGGGTATTTAGAAGTAATCTTCCACAATAATATTTGTATTTGGGGGGGGTTAATTTATTTTTACCCTTCCATATGGATTTCTAATATATTTTTGCCGTAACCACCGAGTGTACCAACAAATCAACAAAGTGGGTTCTTTAATCTTCAAGGGGCAGGCAAGCGCGTGCACTGTAAGGTTCGCCCACGAGACACGCCTCTTGGAACGCGACGACGACCGTGTTTTGCGACCCGGCTGGCGCTCGCGGGGGCTGGAGAGCGGCGCCGGCGTCGCTGCCAGCGCCCGCGCCCGCGCCCGCGCCCTCGGGCGAAAGCGAAGCGCCGCGCCCCGCCGGCCTCCTCTGCCGCCCCCGATCCAACCTCCGCAAGGTCAATGTCGAAAGGAGGCCGCGCCGCGGGCGCTTTCGGCAGCCGGGGCGGCGCCAGGGCACGCAGGCCGCGGCAAGGACGCGCGGGCCCCCGCCACTCTCACCGGCGGTGGCCGTTTTGGCGCATTTGGAACATATGCACCGTACGCGCTGCACGAAATGAAGCGCGTGGCATTCGATGATAGGATCTCATAATACTGGAGTTGAAGCATGGTGGCATAGCTTACGCACTATAACAAAAGAAGGTCGTTAAGGGCAGAAGGTCGCCGTTACACGTCATCACATTTATATTAGCTTTGTCGACATGCGATTCACATTTGTAATAATCCTTTAACTTGCTTTTTAATAGATGCGTTATAATTTATCTCTGCTTGTGACGACAAATATCATTTTGACATCGCAAAGCTCTTATCCTAAACGAGAAATATCATTTTAACTTATTATAGTTGGATCCACATAATTGGGCCTTTGCAAACATATGCAAATGCTGCGGTATCAATTTCAGATTGGTACAGTTCTTTAAAGTTGGTCTTTTCAGTTGTATAATCAGTCACGTGACTCCTAAAGCGTAAGTTCAAGATGTTACAAATGTGTAAAATCTCACCGTTGCTACTTAAAATCAGTTCTGAAATTTGCTTGGATATGCAAGAGGGCTCGTCGAAACAGCGCTTCCGGAGAGGCTTCTGTTTGAGCTTCACGATTGATTAAAATGTTGGCCGATGAAACTCTGAAAGATAAATTTGAATGCCGGTATCAGAGGGGGATTTTCGATTGTGCCTTGCCACCGGAAGTAAGTCGTGCTGAGAATTTTATTTGCTAAAAAAGTGCCCCGACTTGAATGAAGATTGAATGCTTTATTTGAATGTGTAAAACTGACCTAGGTCATTCAGAACTGCGTTCAAGACAGCCATAAACTCCCCAACTGGTTTTTACACATGAGCCCTAGTACGTGTGTATGTGTTAGTATGGATTGAAGAATGGAGAAGACTACCTATTGCGCGAACGGTGTATTGCCATTGTATTCTCCGTGGGTTGACACGTGAAAAACCAAGAGCAAGAGCCTAAGTGCATATATATAAGAAAACGGATGTAGAGAAATTTTCATTCGTCAATAGGACTATAAAAGATTGGAACAGTTTGCCGGTATCAATTTTCAAAAATACTTCTCGCAAAGCCCAAAGGTTAAAAAAATTTAGAATTAGTTTGGTGCCACTTGATAAAGCAACATTAGAATCTGTTGTCACAGTAAGTTAGAACTTAAACAACACTTAAAGTTTAGTGCAATTCAGCGATGTGTTACGCATGACGTCTAAGAGTGTTGAAACGTACGTAAGTGAAGTGCAGTGAAATGGAATGCAGTGTTGTGTATCTCCGTGCAGGGTAGTCTTGTAGAATATTAAGTTAATTACAGTATCATTTTATAAAACGTTTAATTTGTAAATTACTGGCTCAGAGTTCTACTCAGTTGCAGTTAAATATATTTTGTCTTTTCTTCAAGATGTCTACTGTTGTGAAATACAATAAGTACTTTATATATACGAGTATGCTTTAAAGTAGTACATTCGGAACAATTGACTCCCCTGTTTAGCAAACGAAGTGAACGAAAATCATTATTTAGTAATGATGCAAGATATTTCTCACCACAAAAGCGAAACTCCATTTCACTGCAGAGTTTTATCTTGCTGGAAATACTTAGATATCAGCAGATATATTGTATCTATTTGTCGCATTGGATTGAGTTGTGCGCGACGCCGGTGGTTGCTATTCTATTGTCGCTATGAAGTTGATTGTGTGAAATTCTTTTGTTGTGCTAAAGAATGAGCGCCCAGAGATAGAACGTCTCCGAAATACGAGACCAGTCAGTTGGTTGCTTACTTGAACGAAACAAACAGGTGTGGGCGTAGCGGTGAGAACTTGGACGAATGGTGGGTGGGCGTGTTTTTTCTCATGATTGTGCAGAATACTAGAAAACGTACTCAGTGGGTTAGATGCCTCAAACGAATGGTAATATTTTGGCTAAAAGTTACAATATAATATTGTTTATGCGCAAAGTTTATATATGGGCGCAGATGATCTTAAAAAGTATCACTGGACATTGGCTGTTTGATTGATTAGCACGCGTCAACTGCTAAGGTCATTACTTCCGTAAGTGAAATACATTTTTTTATTGCGGGAAGAGGCGGTGATCTTCCCCCGCTGGATGGCGAGATCCGGCGCGTACTCCCACGTCGGCATGCAGGGTTATCCCCAACCAGTTATCTCCTACCAAAGGAGCACTACCCTAGCCCGGAGAAGCTCTCAGCTCCCAACCGGTCTCCAGACATGTTTAGTGTAAGTAAATGTAAGGGATGAGGACAAAACGAGGAAGAAGAAAGAAAAATCGCGCGCTGTCCATGGCCCGTTCGTTCGGGCACAACTCCAGCATTCCCCTGATGTTAATCGGAGAAACCACTATCGAATAGAGAAGCCGGCCACTGGAATTATCTTCCAGGGAGCAGCTGAATTTTTGTGATGAAGCCTTATGGGTCATCTAATAAAAAAGAAGATTGTGTTCTTTAAGTGTAGAACTTAAAGCCCAGTTTTTTTGATGTTTTCGTTATTAACTACACATTTTTTCTAAGTCTATAAATTTAAGTTTCTCTTTATATGAACTAGTTTACGAGTATTCTTAATTATATTAAGCGGAATGGAGACGATGCAGCGCAGTCAATGTATTTGTTTCTTTTATTTGGTTATTAATTTGGTTTACCTTGACACGCACAGGTATAATGGACTTTGAACCTATGCTCTTTGGAACGGGCTATGAAGGAGCTGAAAGGGGTATGTAAATCTGCACACAGAATGTAATTTGTTCTCAATTTTTGTGATGGAGTAATGTCTCCCGCTTGTTGGAAACTGTTCGTGTTTCTTGTTGTGTCTTTGGACTATGTACTCTGTGTAAAAGCTTTCTTAGTTCATGCTTTAGATGCTATATGTTGCTTCGAGGGCAATTTCCCACGTGCTGCACCGTTGTGGTGTATATTACATTTCCAATGAGGTGCAGATGTGCATACGTCCTGCAGTGTGTGTGTGTGTGTATGTGTGTGTGTTTGTAGTATGTTGTAACTATTTCATTGTTTTCATGGTACCATGAAATCAATGGGCAAATGAGAATTACAAACGTGAAAATTATTAGTTGATCCTGTCTCTATGCAGAAACTTTTATATGCACAAACATGTTAATGTAGGCGCCGTTTCCCCATATTCTACTTTACTGACTTCACTTATTAAAATACATGTTTGTTTACACTAAAGAAATCACACCTGAAAGTCTTTGCTGATTTAAGACGCCAATATTACGAAACTGGTCGAAGCGTCACATATCTTTAGAAAATATCATTTTTATCTTAATTATGTTGGTGTTATTGCGTTGTTGTTTTCTTTCAGACAGTGCTTCTGTAGCTAAACACTCATATGGGGTCCGCCCAACGAGATACAATTTACTTTAACGCACGTTTTTTGAGCCTCGGAATACTTAGCCCCACTCTTTCACTAATATTGGAAATTGCAATCAAATAAGATAGTAAAGAAGCGTGGTTAACAAAATCATGATAACCAGTCATTAGTCATGAGCTGCCCGTGTTAAGTAAATTATGTTGCAAAAAAAAAAAAAAAAAAAAAAAAAAAAAAAAAAAAAAAAAAAAAAAAAAAAAAAAAAAAAAAAAAAAAAAAAAAAAAAAAACCAGATTTCGATGAGCGAATTGAGAAACTTCGATTCCATCTGATTTATTTACGTTAAAATCAAATTCTTGTATAAAAATTCATTTATATATTTTTTAAGTTTTATGGCAATGTACATTATTTCATTTATAAAATCAGATTTTCAATAAAAAATTAAATTATTTTCGAATGCCACTCTACACGTTTACTATATGAGATAAATAAAATAACCTACCAATTGAGGTAGATATTATTTGAAACAAGATTTTTTCGCACCATGTTTTTTTTTATCTCTAAGATTCCTATCTTAATTCATATACATATTAAGTTGAACTGTGGATTCAGACAATAACGAACGTTTTTGGAACGATTTGATAAGAATATATTCACTCCCGTGCAAGGAAAACTAAAGCAAGGGTACATCAGCATATGTTGACTCTTTTCCCGTATCGTGACCTTCGTGAAGGAATCGAATTACTGCCTCGAGAACGTGGAGAATTATTATGTGAATACATACATTCTCCACTGGCGTCAAAAAAACCTGCACAGGTGGGGAAGCTACATTTATGTCCAGATGCAAAACAAGGGGTTATCTCGGCATTTGCTCAAAGGGTCAGGTACACTGGACGAAAAACCTAATCGAAATGGGGTCATTGACCGAGAAGCGGAGGTACCGTAGTTTTGTTGGTGCAGTTATACATATAAACAAGCGAAGGAATTATGTATACTATACTATACTCATCATTGTAATGAAAACAAAGTTATACGACGCCAATGATAACATGTAATTATTGCTGGTAATAGCAAACAACGCGTTGAGAGTAAATGTTTAATATGCGGCCACATCCATGTTCTCACTGCAGAAAACACAACGGCCTCTAGTTGTGAGGGCGTCCACAAAGAGCGCCGAAACCACAGGATCAGCCTGTCTATGTAGTAATATTGATCTCGTTGGGCCCGCCCGACGAGCAAGTGCACTTCGTGCAAGTTATTCTTCTATTAAAGAATATATCCGAAATGGCGGTGATAAGCCCCTCGAACCACATCGATAATCGCGATGCTCATATGAAAGACGATAAAAAATGTCGCAGATTCCCCCAAAATCAGCCTCCTAAGGCCATCTGTTGTGGAGATACAAAGAAAAACGTGTTTTTCATGTTTTATTTTTTTATCAGCTTCTGTTGCATGTATCAGGACGGGAAAAATTGCGGAGACGGAAAAATAGTTGAATTTGAAGGTATTTTATCAACCAATTTTGACGCCAAATTCAAATAGAAAAAAGAATTTAAATCGATTTAGACGTGATAACATTAGAGTACTATCGCAGTTTTTTTCATTAGAATGTGTCTCATAACATTCCATAAAATATATTTTTTCGGCTTTTTAAACATTGTTGATGATAGTGAAAAAAATTAAAACCAAATTTACAAGCAGTTTAAAAATTTGAAATTCGCGAAAAAATGTAATTGAAAAAAAAAACTTTTTTACCAATATTTATATAAATACAGATTCAATCGCGACATACGAACTCGAAATCTTATTGGTGTTACATCTATTATGTACCAAAGTCAATCAGAATATCCATGGTGGAAAGAGATGTGTGGGCTCTTGTGCATCCCATTTCAGCCAATGTGCTCCAGGCACCATTTTGCGTCATAAAATTTTCGAGAATTTTAAATGCCACAATTATCAGTAGCCATTGAAACAGAAACAGATAAGCACTTTTTTAAAGTATTGCTTTTTTTATTTCAATTACACCTTTGCGTTATTTTTGGTTGGTCCTGTTCTGTTCTCGGCTCGACAGCCCGATACGGACTCTGGCCGTCCAACGGTGGCCCATCCTCTCTCTGGGACGAGGGGTTGGTGTGGTTAGCACGAAGTCATTCCTCCATCATATATACTGGTCTTCTTAACCTTAGGATGGGTTTTATCATCGTCACACAGCAATAGATACTGGGACGTTTGTAAGGAAAGCGCAGAGTTATAATTTCGCCCCGGCCGGGAATCGAATCGGGGGTTGCGCCGTTTAAAGCCATCACGCTACCAACGACCCTCCCAGGGCTTCTTTTCCTTTGGCCACGGTTGAAAATTGTCACTTTATGTCACTTCCAAAATGTTTCTCACTATGCTCTCCATGCAACATGGCGGCCAACGTGTGGTCTCGCCTTTTAAACGAAGTGCTCATGATGTGGCCACATAGTTCATGACGCAAACTGGTGCATCGCAGAACGAGCAAAAATCACTGCTCAGTAGGAGCCCATCCATCTCTTTCCACAACGGGAATATCTGGTGAGAAACGATATTATTATTGTTAACTTGCGAACAGAAGTGGCAGCCTAGGATTAGACCATTTATTATTTGGCTCACGCTCGTTACTTGAGGAAATTGTTAAATCAGTCAGAAAGTTTGAGTAAACTGTTTATAAACGAACGCGTGATCCCAGTTATTGACGATATTGATATGATTAATTGTCCATGATTGAATGAATTATCTACCTAAAACAGGGGTATTTCATTTATATTAGAAACAATATATAAATCTAAAAACAAAAGGGGTTTGATGATTTTATTTCGATAATATACTTACCACATAAAAATAAACATTTGTCACCAAGAAGTTAAAAATCATGCTCGTAAGTGAGAATTTTCTATAATATAAATATAAATTGTGAACAAAACACTCCAATCACATTTTGGCGCGAATTTCAAATTTTTAACTGAAACATTTTTAAAAATTTTTTTCACTACGTCCATATTGTTTAAAAATATTTTAATTTTTTTATCTTATTTTTAATAAAATCAGCAGCTGGTTGGTGGTTACATTATTTTGTTGACGACTTTAGCTTATTATACATACTATTTTTTGATGAACGTAACAATTAAATAACAAAAATATATTATAATATACAATACGACGGGAATATATATATATATATATATATATATATATATATATATAAAACTTATTTTTACAATTATTTCTATATAGAATAAATACAATTAGGGGGATTGGTCTTGTGGATGGAAGACAGGGTTTCTTTATACCAGCTGATTTTTATTGTCTGTTATTAGGGTGTAGGAATAGGTCTTTCGGTAATTAATTAATTGATTTTAAAAAATAAAAAAAATATGTTACACAATGTTGTGGGACACATTCTTGGGGGAAAACTGAGACTACTCCAACGTTATCACGGAGAAAATAAATTTTAAAATAATATTTATTTTTTTCTATTTGAAATTGATGTCAAAATTTTCTTCAAATTCTACTATTTTTCCCCGTCTCTGCACTTTGTTTGAACCTGATACATGTAATAGAAGCCGGAGAAAAAATAGAACATGAAAATCACGTTTCTCGTTGTGTCTCTGCAAAAGATTGCTCCAGGAAGCTGATTTTTTGGAAATCTACATTTTTTATTTCTTTTCAATGTGAGCATCACGATTATCGATTTGGTTTGGGGACACTTTTCACCGCCTTATTTGGCTCTATCCTATGACCTATGTATATCTCTTGTTGTATGATTGTTCTGTCAAATAACTACAAAAATGGTGTCACAATTGCAGTTGTTATTTTATCATATATTGACCGTTTGATCTAAAAATTATAACATGAATGTGTGCAGGATCGTTTAATTTTGTTTCTAATAATTTAGTTTCTTTTAAAGAGTAATTTTTGAAATATTGTTGGAGACGTGTGTTTAAAATTATTTGAATTACTTTCAACGTGTTAAGAAAAGTGACCGTCTTATAGACATACTATTGGAAAGCCTGTGCTGGCACATATCAAAAGGTATGATTGTTCTAGTTTACATCAAAATGTTTTCCATAGTAAAATTGTTCATTCAGTCACTTTTATGCTATTCAAGATACGACGACTAACTCCATAAGCACCCTTATTATCCCTATATTCAAATTACATAACAGGTATAATTTACTTTGTGCTTAAAGAGGATATCGTCTGAGTTTAATGCACTTTCTCTCCGAATGTAACAGAATAATTCAGCATTAAGTTGTTTTGCAAAGTAGTAAACAATACGTAGAATGGTGTCTTTATTGCTTTTAATGTATTGAAGATCGAGAATAATGTATTTCGTGTACTTTACTCTTTGATAATACTCTGTAAGATGCTTTACGTCGTCCTGAGTCGTGCCTGTCTCACGTCTGATAGAACGTTATATAACGAAGGCGATGGCTTGTTCACGAATCCATTATTTCATCAACCTCACACTTCATTATAGTTACGTAAAGAAAATTGAGTAAGTGGCCAACCCGATATCAGACCATCGCTGCAGCCGTCTGGCGTACCGCTGCTACCGGTCGTTATGAAGACTTATTGAGTTCTACTTTTCCACCTTCGTGCTCATTTTCTGCCATTCACTTTCTCAACTTGAAGATTTGTACAAGACATGAATTGATTTCCAAGATATCTTTGTTAACTGATACATTTCATGAATTTAAGATCCATCTCGGTCAAACTATTTAAGATATCTTCACGATAACGGTTGGCCACCTTTTAACTTGCCCTTTCTTTACTCTCAACTTTACTTTCTCCTTTCTGTCTCAGCCAGCGTAAAGCGGGACAGCGTGGGTACGTATGCAACCGACGTATGCATATGATTGTGTGATGCTATATTTATGCGTGCTTTGTTGATGCAGATTAATTACAATTCTCTGAGGACAATGTACGATATTTTTAAGCCCTATTGTAAATGTACCACCTTCAACTGTTTATCTTCATTCTATTACTTCGCAAGGAGTTGGATATACTCGTAAACATTTTAAAACTGACCTTCTTTTTTACTTCTGTGTAAATAAAATGTAGTACAACATGCTGCCTAATCAATAGTTTTTTCTTCCAATTTATTTTACGCACTCAATCCCTCGTTATCAATTATCTTTGTTATCAAGCTATTTAAAATGCTTTTGTAGCAGGAGTTTCCGATATATTCACGTCTCTGATCTATTTGTGTATGAAATACCCTGAAATGCACCGAGTATTTTGCATTCCACGCACAGGAAAACCTAGCACAAACGAAATGTTTTGTTTGTTACCTTGTTACCTTTTTATGTTTCCAAAATGTGTGTCAATGTTCAACGCGTAGTATCTTAATTTAAATTTACTTTGAGGTAGAAAATTTTGTAAGTAGTAGGAAAATTAAGAAAAAAACAAAAGAACCTTGGTAAAATATTTTAATTTGTAGTTTTCATTTGTTACGAACGGTAATGGCTGATATATTTTATCTTTCGTTTCAACTTGCGATGTGGCTTCGTTCTCTATATAAACGGATACTCTTATTCTCATATTTTTTTATTATTTATGCGGAGTTTTATATTTTTTATTAGTACTCGTATATGCAGTTTCTACTTTCTGCGTAAACTTAATGCGATTTCATTTTATGTTGTAAATATTCAGCGAAAATATTTCGTAGCTTTCAATGCTGATCCAGTACGAAAACTAGCTGTGCATGGTGTGCTTGCTACTGTTAAACTGATGAATGCTATTTTGTTTGCAATTGAAGTATGTGTGTAAGTGAAGTTTCAATGATAAATCATTGAAAGAGTGTTTTTCTGCATTTCTTCTGGTCGGGTGATGTTTCTTATTGTTTTCTAAATTTTTTATTTGTTAATATGAATACTAATAGCCCCGCCTCCCCATTCAAAATACACATTCATGAGAGTGTCCTAACAATTTTCGAGAATTACATTTGCTTTGTTCATATTCCTACAATTATACATTACACTGTCTACATATAACATATAAGAGAAATACAGTGAATTTATGTGGAAAATTAACAAATAATATGAAATAAATTATAAGTAAATAAAATTAAAAATGCTGCCCAATCAACCTGTATCACTTACAACTGTTCACAACATGGACGGAAAAAATACGAAAACTGAAAAACATGCTGGGTACGGCTAGATGACTGCCACCTTTTAGAATGGAGAGAAGAGAAAGCCTACCAATTGTGGGAGGGGGGACCAGAAGAGTAGAAGGGGTAGTCATAAACACAGTTTTGAACATTTGTAAGTTATTAACTTTGCTTGGGCAGCATTTTAAATTTTATTTACTTATTATTTATTTCATATTATTTGTTAATTTTTCTCATAAATACACTTATTTACATTTTTTTTTGCTCAGTTTGTTAATTTTTCAATTTTTTCCTCCTTGCTAGAGACCTACCGAAGATGGAAAAAGTGTTTTCCCGAAAGATAACTCTGGAAGTGTAATAACTAATAAAATTAGTATACTTTTGCGGACGATTATTTCCTTCTCCCATTATTTTCTTTCGTGTTCTTTTTCGCAATTTTTGAGTATTAGATCAGAGACGAATAGCTAACGTGTGTCCCAGTATCATTTAGCATGTAATTAGTCATTCAAATTCAACGATGGGAGAGATTTTGTCATATACGTTAATGAGAGGGAGAATATAAATGCCAAAGTACTCACCAACATATTAGACAGACACACAAACTCCCTCTCCCGAGGTGTGGGTCCCAGCTGTTTCAGCCGGCTCACCGGGACGACTGTTGTAAAACCGTTGTCCTCTACTGCCGCATGGCAATGCTTGTCAATGAGTTGAGAGAAGCTGGTGATTCGTCCGCTTGCGAGCCGAGGGGGGGGGGCGGGGGCGCAGCTGCTGAGTGGCGTGCGTTGCAGGGCCGCCGGGCGCGTGGCTGTGGAAGACGCAGCAGCTGCCGGCGCTGGAGATCCCGGGCGCCGTGCGGCGCGACGCGGCCGACGACTCCCCGCCCGACGAGGACGACCTGCTCAGCCTCATGCCCGACGCGCAGTGAGTCAGCGCACAGCGCACGCCGCACAGCCTAAAGACATTGAATTTGAGTGCCACTTGCTTACTGTTCGATTGCCCCCAGGCAATTCGTTTATAGATTTATTGGCCATCAGTGGACAGAATTTAACGAAACTGTACGTGTAAATAATAAAAAAAATGTACGAGGAACGTTTTCAACTTCGTAACTCAGAATTTAATTTTTTTAAACTTATATCACTTTTCCTGTGTGCCATCGAAATGTCCCGCGTGCTTTCACAAAGAAGGCCTGGACCGTGTTCGTCCTGCGACAGCGGCGCCCCAACGCGCTGCGCTCTCTTGTTCCGCAGGAGCGAGGCGGGCGGCGGCGCGAGCGCGGGCGGCGCGCAGGGCGGCGCGGCGGCGCCCAAGGACAAGCCGCTGGTGTCGGAGTCGTGCGAGCTGGTGACGCTCATGAGCCGCGTCACCGGCCGCCTCGAGGTGACGGCCGCGCTCGTCAGCTTCCGCGACACCAGCCCCGTGCAACGCGGCGACGCCGCGCCCGAGCGCATGGACTTCAAGGTGCCCCCTTCCGCTTCCTTTGCTTTGCTTTGCGTTTGCCGCTGCCATTTACACATTCATGAAATAAAGCTATTAACGGGCACAAAGTAGATTTGTTCAAAAGTAGAAGTAGTTCATTGGCTGGGCCAAAACATAGTGTAACGTACAGTCATGGTAATTCTATAAATGTCAAACCCCTGAAGAGCATGAAAACCTGAACATGAAATATTTGTTTATGATACGACTGGTAAAAATAGCATTTTATTTTGATTGAAGGGAAGATAGCGTCGGTAGGCCGATAGGCCGAGTGATGTAATCCTTCGAGGAAAGTAAAATAAATTGTACTTGTCTAACACTACATTTTAGACAGCATTACTGATTATTATTTTAATTCAATTATACAAATCACTTCATTATGTACTATGTTACTTTGTGGTCAGTCCTACTACAATGTGTGCTGATGCATTCACAGGCTCGTATTTTCTATTTAAGAGCTCAATATTTGTCAATAAATTTGGAAACATACTGGGATCATAAACACAAGAGTCGTATATCCGAGAGATTGACAAGTTACTTTACATTGATTTCACGTGCAACATTACGTAAATGTGGCAAGCACTATATCATTATCGTTCCTTTACAGGAGTTTTTGGTCATTGAAATTAGGTTCTTTGTTGCAGAGTCTGTGGTAGCTGTGTTTAGAAAGTAGCTGTGTGTCTGACTAACATATTTCAAGAAATGTATACTGATTGAAAGGGTAGGGGCATTACACATCCAGAATGAAGCACGAATTTAGAATATACTCTCAAAACAAACACGATACAAATGCTAAAGGAACACGTTCATAAAAGTGTTTATGAACGTGTGTATGGAAAGAAGGGTATATACAAAATGAAAAAAGTTTGTTTTTGCGTGAATTTTATGAGTTATCACTACTTTGTCCCGCCCCCTTCAGTTGTACAACCATCAGTTAATACTAATGTTGGTTATGGGAGAGGACTCATCTCCAAACAAAGCTTTCCTTTCTTTTGTGAAACCCGAAGAACGTCAAGAGAGGTGAATGGGTGCGTGTTGTGTGTGTTGCAGTTCGCGCTCTCGCGCCTGCGGGAGATCCACCTCCGCCGCTACAACCTAAGGCGCAGCGCCCTCGAGTTCTTCCTCACGGACCAGACCAACTACTTTCTCAACTTCTCTGCCAAGGTGCGTTCCCAGGATTCCCATAAACACCATCTTACTCGTAACACGCAATGATGAAGCATGTAATCTAATATAAAACAAAAATTATGAGTACGGTAATAGATTTTTAATTATATCTATTACAAACCCCAGCTCAAAGCAATACATTTTCTTTCTCTGTACATCGTACAATTGGAAAGATTCATAATATTAAATAACAAAGTGTCATGTTAATTAGGAAAATAGTCTCGTAACATGTTTTAATATTATTTTTAACTCAGTTAATAATAGTTATTTTAACATTCATAGAGACAAAGTTGACTGAAAGGCGATAATTTGTGCATCGAACTGAACGTTGAGTTTGTAAACCAAATTTTAATTTAAAAGTACTACCTTCAACCATCAGCTTTCTCTTGATATAACTAAAAATTAAATACAACGAATAGTTTCTAATCTCAAAGTATTTTTTGTACTGTTTTCAGATTTTGTTTAAGAGGTGACAGAATTTTGTGTCACAATGCTTTTATGATTCATTTCATTCTGAGATGGGGTATACACGTGGTGACTTGGAACTTTTCCTTCTCAAAGAGATTGGGTGCAGGAAGTACAATTGCCGGGCCAGGTAGAGGACTTCCACGAAGGGGCGGAAGCTCTTCATTGCAATGCACAGGTGGCGTGCTGACTGCCACTGCATCGTGATTGATTTATTAGTAGGCTCTCCCTGTCAGCAACCCGGCACTTACGCGACAATAAGCTAGAAATTAGCTTCTCGAAGTGATGATAACGTGTTGGCTCTGAGCGAATTTATATCACCATTTCACAAGAAATGTAAACAGTGGTTAAATACCTGTCCGTCGGTGGCAAATAATACATAACTTGCGGTTCGATATCCTACAATTATACGCCATAATGCCAAAAATATATGACGTAAGACTGTAAGATTTTTGACACTGGATAAAAGAGCATCTGCTTTTGTAGATTCTAATGGAGTAACTAACTTGGAATATTATATTCTACAAAAGAGATTCAAAAACTCTCATGGGTATCCCTAATTTCGTACACTTATACACTGGAGTATGTTTCTGGTTCACATAATCCAAACACTTGATGCAACGCTGTAAGGCGTCGATCTGAACACATCCTTGAAACCATATCGTGACTTCTTGCTGATTCGTGCATCAGCTTGCGTAGCCTACTCTCCAGAGCTCATAGTAAGTACTCAGAAAATATGGAATTTTACGTGGTGGGTTGATTATCTATTTATTTATTTAACGCCAAAAACAGTTTCAAACCGTGTGAGACACACTATGCAGAAGAAAGCACGTTTTGCCTTACTTGAAGCTCCACAACCCGTTTCACCTCCCGTCGGATGCTCTGTGAGAATACGTTTTGTCTGTTGTCATATTCCGTACGTACACACTCGCAAGTTACACAAAACTTCATGTACCATTATTCTACGCAAAACCATGGTTTGCAAATTTTCTGAATATAATCCGTCGAACGGATGCTGTGCTGTGTGCGCAGACGCGCAACAAGGTGTTCACGCGCATCCTGGCGCTGCGGCCGCCCAACCTGTCGTCGTTCAGCAGCCGCTCGCCCGGGGAGATGCTGCGCGCGTCGGGCCTCACGCGCAAGTGGGTGCAGCGCGAGATCTCCAACTTCGAGTACCTCATGCACGTGAGTAGCCACGCCACCCCCTCCCGCCCGCTGCAACGCAATCGCTCGGCGAACATCCACGCTTTGGTGCGCACGCTCCCGGAAACTAGGGGTGTGGAACAGTTTTGGACAATAAATGAATAAATGATAAATAATGAATGAATACAATCGGATACAGCAACCTTAAAAAAAGTTTCAATAAGAGAGAGAAACTGAAATCTTAATCTTCTTATCTTAATGATTTCCTACAACTTGTGACGCAAGGTAAGGGTGTAATGAAGTAGTTCTCAGTGCAAACGACATATGTTTGAATTGCTGAATGTTTTTCAAGTAGCTCTGTCGTTTTTTGTTGTTTTGTTTGTGATGCGGACTATAAATGTATTATTTTTTAATTTTTCATTGATCCCAAGAAGTTTCATTTTTCAAGGATGGCTTATAGAGCATCAAAGGGTTGTACTTATTTTGTGGGGAGAGACGCTTAAAGGCTCGTGGATAATTGTTTTTTTTATAAATTTCCAATTTTAGGAGTCTTGAAATTACTTTTTTTTGCTCATATTTATTGTTTACGTGAGTTTGTTCAAAATATAATACAATTTATCACAAGCGTCTGTTAAAATTTGTCTTTGAAAGCAGGTTAAAAATCGGGAGCAATCAATCGAAAACTGAAAATTAAACATACGTTTTGGAAATATTTGTAATTTTATAGTCTTATGTCTTAATATATTACTATGTTATAAAGATACATCCTCCTTTTTTTGACATTAAAATACTTATATTGTGTCATAAACAGATATTGGAGCGAGAAAGGTGAATTTTGTATATTTTGCACATGTATGTTATTAGATAAATCAACGTATTAATAGTTTTGGATAAATCAGTGTATTAATTTCACAAATTCATAATTAACATCAATAAAATGAAAATCTAAACTGTTGTCTTCGGAGCTTCCACAACCCTCGTTGATAATGCACGTGCTCAATTCGCTCGTGGGCTGCAATAGTGGTACAACTCAAAAAAATACAAATTTTGAGTAAATGCACTGTCTTGAACTGCAGATTGGTGATCCCTCCACCAGCAAAAACAGTACTGTAGAGGATTGCACTAACTAATGGCAGAAGTGTGAATGCAAGAATGATGCATTTCAATATAAGGTGAAAGCTTCAAGCGAATTTATCCCAACACCTTATTTTTGGAGTTGTGCAACATTGCAGCCGACGAACTATTTATTCCGTGTTATCGCGAGGTTTAAACGTCTGAAGGGGCGCTGCCTCCTGACCCGCCGCCTTGCGTCCACAGCTGAACACGCTGGCCGGGCGCACGTACAGCGACTTGTCGCAGTACCCGGTGTTCCCGTGGATCCTGGCGGACTACACGAGCGAGCGCCTCGACCTGGACAACCCGGCGTCGTTCCGTGACCTGGCGCGGCCCGTGGGCGTGGTCAACCCGCGCAACGAGGCCGAGGTGCGCGCCAAGTACGACAGCTTCGAGGACCCCTCCGGTGAGTGCTCTCGCCCTGGCGAAGGCGCTTCGGAAGCAGAGAATGAGAGGATACCCTGTTCCCGGGTACTAATAACGAATAATTAAATAAACCCGCCAGAAAAAGATCCTCTAACACGTGGCGTAGCCAGAATCCATGTTTTGTTTGTTCTTGATGCCGAAAATTCGATTGGCGGCAAAACGTCTGTCTGTCGGTCTGTGATCAAAGCTAGCGCCTAAGCCATTCAGCCGATTTTTTTCTTCCAATATGGATATTCCCCGATCTATATAAATGAACTCGAGGATTTGGGAGTTTCAAACAAATATTTTGATTTTTGAGGGTACTTTGGATAAAGCCTCTGAAACACTTTCTAACCTTTCTTAAATATGATACCGAAATGTTTCATTAAACTTTGTCTTCGGGTAGAGTGAAGGACGTCTAAGACACACGAATAGAGCTGTCCTAAACTGTCTGCCCCTCTTCGCTATAAGTGGAGCCTGACGCGACCGAAGTCTCAATCATGCACCCAGAAGTTGGGATCAACGAAATTGATCTTACGTGCTTTGGCAACCCAGCTCATTAATTCATTCATGTGGCCGATGCGCCGGGATTTTGTTCGATGCGTCCGATCACTAGCAATGTAGCTATCACCGTCGCACACAAGGAGACCGCGCCGAGCACACCGTCACCGCGCCCAGCGCACCGTCACCGCTCCACGTGGCAGGTCCCTGATACGCGCGCGCGGCACACGAGGAAAGGTGCTCGGTCCACGCGCCGATCCTCGCCCGGTATCCTCGATCCTTGCCCGGTGATCATTGCATAGAGACGAGGACCAGGAGATTATCATGGCGTTTATCTATCTAGCCCTATAGACGTTTTCCAGCTCCGATGGCGAAAACTGCAAAAATGTTAATTTTTTTTCCTTCCTGCAAATACAAAATTAATAAAAGTGATCATTTCGTCACGTGAAATTCGTTCTTCGCAATCATTTCATTAGTAAATGTGATCTACGTATGTTTTATTAACTTAAGAAGTTTTCAGCTAGTTTTTAATTAAATTCGAGCACCATTATAACTTTTTTTTATTTAAAGATAATTACAGGTCGACTTTAATTTTTTTCTTTAAATGTTTTGTACGAATAGTGCTGTGAATATATGACATAAAACACCATTTCTATGTTGTATTTCTTTGTTGTTGTTTTTTCTTCAAAAATTACACAAATGTTTAACGTGTCTACCACGTGGTCGTGGTACTGGTGTGGTACTTCAGTAAAAAATCAGTTTGCAAAATTATGAATTAGAAGAACTGAATTCATCGTGATAATCTGTAAAGTACTATGTGCTTCTACATATTGTTTAATTGCAAATCTGGAAGAGTTGTTTATTAATAGCTGGGAAATCTTCATCCTCGATCGTTGCGTAGAGACGAGCAGTGAGGGATTGTCGTGGGGCTTACCTACTTGTACAACCGCCCTTCAGCCCCCGTGTGAGACGGCAATGCCCCCTGACGCCCGCGCATTGGGTTCCTCCCCTTCGAGCGGAGGGTCCGCGGAGGCGAGTCCGACTTGCATTTTGCCCATTGCAGCTGAATCGCGCCCGCGTTTCCTCCAGACGCTGGTAGCACGCGTACCCCACGACGAGTTGCCGAGTTCGATTCTCAGTGAAGAAAAATATTTTTACTCTTGCTTGCATAGATAAGTGTGCTCCTCAAGTGTCGTAGATTACTTACGAAGAGAGAAACGGTTTATTTCCTAACGTCTAAAGTATTTTCATCCCTACGTTCTAACTACCACTTGAATACATGTTACGATATGAGTTTGCTTGGTGTCCATTTACATAATTTGGTTGATAGGTATTATTATCTACAAGCGAAAAAGGATTTTTTGCAAATACTGTTGCATGGAATTCCTCTTTTTTTTAAATTTTCGTTGGTAGTATTCGCTCTCTCTCACACATCTTGTACAACGCTTTACATACTAAAGAAAGAGTATCAGCATTTCATAACATTGTTTACATAAAAAGTGGACGTGAATCTCTAGTTGCCAGTTTTGCTCATGATGTGTTTCTTTTTTTCGTTCTCGTATGCCTATGTATATATGGATCAACATTCATACTATAGAAAGAATTAAATAGTGTTGCGGAAAATCGATTTCGAGATTTCAACGGAAATAAACGTTTTGGGACCCTCGATGCCGAAGAAGTGTCATTTTTTTCGTAACATCTTTTTATCTACTTGTTCTTTGGTGCATGTGTAAACACTAGCACCGTTGGTAGAATTGCACTTCAACTGTTGGTAGAATATTTTTCCTAAATGAATAATTATTGGTCGATGTTGCTGTACCTAATGCTACGGCGTTTTTAAATATTTTCTTTGAATTTTGGTGTCTTCTTTAAGTGAATCACCTTTGCCATTTTGAATTGTTTTTAAAAATTACTACTAGCGGTGTTTCATGTATTTCAATGGTCTGTTTACATATGCATGATAAGCCTAAAAATAAATGTAAACAATACAAAAAACTTCAAAAACATTGAAAAGTATTTATGTTAGTGATGAACATTGGTTCATCTATTATTAAATTGTTGAACCCCTTTTCTCACCATTCCATGTCTCATTACACTGCACCATAAGTCTCAACAAGTGGACAATGCATTCTTTACAGTCAAAACTCAAACATTCTTTACAGTCAAAACCCGTATTACTGAACGCAATCGGGCGGGCTTTGAAATTGTCTTAAACGTTTTAAACGCTCACTAACATAGTCGTAATAAACACAATAGAATCTAATTGTAATGGCATCAGTGTAAAAACGAAGTTCCAGTGACACTGCGATGGCTATAGCTGTGATGGCGGTGGAACGAAAAGCTACTTACTTTGTGGTCACCTTTCGTAGATGAGTAATTACACTGGTCACCATGGTGTTTGTTCCAAGAGTACTAATAGGTGTATTTAATGCAATTTTTATCTGGGTTTCAAATATGTATTCGGAATTTCTCCTTCACTCTCAGTTTTTTTTATTCCATTTTTTTTTTCAATATTTATAAAAGTTGACCATTCGTCCATTGTCAAGTGAAATGTCCAGAACATTGTAAATATGATGGAATCAAATAAGCCAACTCAAATGGGAGTGCTGTGCATGTTCACTCGTGCAGAAACGTACAAACTGGATCTTGAGGAGCACACATTCATTAGAACTAGACCAACTGCGATATAGGTGTAATGCAGTGAATGCATCACTGTGAGTGCTTATGTGCCTGCATTTTTGTGTATTGTATATTTACATAGTCTCCTATATTATTTCTGTGGGGTATATACCTTTTGCGGCTCTCAAAGACAACAAAGTTTTGAAAATGGGACCTCTGAAGATAAAGAATTTCACGGAGACGTGACTAATCACAATTTGACTTTAAAAATAGGAAGGATTTGTTTAAAAAAGCATCCAAATATTCTTGTCAAATGCAACCCGCAACACTCTGTAAGCTATATCGTTAAAATAATTCCTAAACGAATCACTCTGGGGCCTTAAAACTAGATTTTTGAGGCGAAATGTCTCAAAGAAACGTTATTCTATTAATTTTTTGCCAGTTCGGTGCTTGTCGATACCACATATACATGGAGGAATACAGAATATATTTCTCCATGACCTATATTTCAGCCCTTGGTGATGGTGACCATCTTTGTGACGAAGGCTTTGATTCCTTCATCTTATAGCATTAAAAAATGTTACAGTTTTTTGGGGAAATTTCAGATATCAAGGAAAATGGAATTTTATTATGCTGGTCGATCATTGTTGGAAAATATAGAGAGCTGCTTCATAGGCAAAATATAGCTAAAATCATTATTTCTTATTGTCTTGGTGAGTTAGAATGTTTGAATCTTGTATAGATAAGAACGGAGAAAGTATTAAAATGTTTTAAATTATATATACCTGTCAGTCAAAAACTTTGCGTCAGGGGTGGGGAAAACCGATATCGTATTGGAATTCAGGATATAAAATTTTATCAAACTCGCTTATTTTTTTCTTTCTGAGACAAAAAAGTGTATGTTCCCTGGTGTTATAGATGGAATGATAGATGCGCGTGGTACTGAACCTCTAATCGTCATCCTTATAAACTTAACATAGAAAACTAGTATAGTAAATAATTTTTGATGTGCTTCCAGGCACCATCGCCAAGTTCCACTACGGCACGCACTACTCCAACTCGGCGGGCGTGCTG